ATAGATAGATAGATAGATAGATAGATAGATAGATAGATAGATAGATAGATAGATAGATAGATAGATAGATAGATAGATAGATAGATAGATAGATAGATAGATAGATAGATAGATAGATAGATAGATAGATAGATAGATAGATAGATAGATAGATAGATAAATAGATAGACAGATACACAGAAGACATAAGAAGCAAAAAAACTTAAACCTAGGAAAAGATAATGGCAAAAGACATAATTAGACTTTACAGATAGATAGATAGACTGACTGATAGATATAAAGACAAACTATAAGAAAAAGAGAGGAAATATAGACAAAGAGAAAGAGAGAGAGAGAAAGAGAGAGAAATACACATCACATTCTTTATCAGGGTGTCTTGCAGTTTGCCAATACAGACCTTTCAAAACTGAAGTTGTACTGATACTGAAGAATAAATATAATAAAAAATTTCTATTAATAATAAATAAGAAAAAAATTATATGTATAATTATGAATAAATATAAACACAATCATAAATATAATTTATTTATTATTAGCTGAAATAATTTTTATAAATATCTCTAACCTCTTGATTAATATCATTCAGGGATTTGTACGAGACACTGGGGGTCAATTTCTATAGTGGGGAAAAATTAATATGCGCACTATTATTACTTATAAATTATCATAATTAATTATAATATTATAAATAAATAAATAAATGATTAAATAATTTATATTATTACCGTTGACAACGATGAAGAGTTGCCTGTATCAGATATGGATGGATTCACTTGAAATTCAATCCCTGTAAGAACTGCTTGAGTGTTTGATTTAATTATTTACTTATTATTATGTCATAGTTATTATTATAATTGTTCTTATTATTATTTTATATTATTGTAATTATTGCTCCTCTTGATACACCCAAACAAGCAACAACAACAACAACAACACACGTTTAGACGACATTTTCCCCGAGATCGGGGGTTGCCGTTTGGCTACCTATGATGAAACTTCTGTATCATAAGTAATTTATTTGGCTAATTTTTACGCAGGACGCCCCCTTCCTTACGCAACCACAGTTATAAGCGGTGGGCCTAGCCTTTGATGATCCAATATCACTCACAAGGCAGTGAGGGTCAGTTTAATGTCATAACCAGGACACCCAAACAAGCAAGCAAATAAAAAAATAATTGCAAACAACTAAATCAATAAATAAATAAATAGATGCATGAATAGATATATCAACAAACAAACAAACAAACAAACAAACAAACAAACAAACAAACAAACAAACAAACAAACAAACAAATGAACAAACTTACCAACAAACAAACACATGAACAAACAAACAAACACATGAACAAACAAAGAGACTAACAAATGAACAAAAAAAACAAAACCAACCATTAAATGAAAAAGCATCACTTCTAGCAGCATCGTTTTGCCTCTGTAGAACGTCAGCCCGTGGAGTGGGAACTGGCGGCTGAGGCTTCGAAACTGGAGGGCTGGGAGCCGGTCTGATATTGATTAGTGACAAATTAGTGACGCTAATTACGATAAAGATGATGATGATAACAAAGATGAAGATGATAAAGAAAAAGACTATAACAGACAAAATAAAGATAAAAAATCAAGAAATAAAACAAACCTCAAAGTGATTTTATTGGAAATAGCAGCTGTAGAAGCAGCTGTAGAAGCAGCAGCAGCTGTAGTGTTGGCCACAATAGAATTAGCTGCATGGATGAATGATTGTGTCTCTGGTGGAACTCTACCAGTTTTGTAGCATACCAATATGCCATTTATATCACTGCAGAAATAAAGGTGTGGTGGTTAATTGAATGCTAAAGATAGAACGTTAGATAGATAGAAGTTATTTTTAACCAACTAACCCTAACAACGTATATTCTTCTGGAGGCCTCTTAACTTTAGTAAGTAAGACAATATCTGTAATGGCTGTGGAGACCGAATTTCGGCTGGCCATCTTGACACATAGTTGTTTTTTTCTAAATGCTTTTTCCTCTAATGACAAATGAATTGAACAATTTTTTTTAAATTTTCATTTAAATTTTCATTTATTTAAATGATAAATATTAAATAAACAATGACAATAAATAATCATAATAAAAATAAGAATAACAATAGAACCAAAAAACCTGAATCTAGAGTTTTATCTATAGTCGTGAAGCCAGTTGGGGGAAAGTCTTTCTCGTTGAGGATTTGCAGTGCCACCAAAACCATGTTATCCTGCTTGGGTTTGAAGTTTGAAATTAACTACAACAAAAATAATTGTAATAACTATTAATATTTTAATTTATAAATAAATAATTTTATAAAATATAAAAATAATAATGTGCCTCCATGTTTTAAGTGCTTATTGCTGTTAGATCTGAGAAATGACAGAGAGAATTGCAAAATAAAGAAAGAAAAAACAAATTTAATTAAATAAATAATTTAAATAAGTTTAAGATTTTCAACTAGATGTCACTAACTTACAAGATTATCAATGTTGAATGATCTGGTGAAGCAGAGGTACCTTGTGTATCGTTTAAACATTCCACTTTCTCGCCACAGGTCGCAGTCGGCCTCCTTATCTTTGGATCTCATCAACTGTTATGTGTGTTTTCCAATTTTATTTTAGAAATTACAAATTATATATTATATACCACCATACTCACATTATTGTAAATTCATTTTATGAACTATTTAGAATATTTATTCAATTTTACCCCATTCAAACTGGGGACATACACAAGGCAACAAATAAATAACACATTCTGATTATATTATATTATATTATAAAAAAATTATATTATAATGAATCATGACCTAATTACTAAAAAAATTTTAATTAGAGATAGGACTTTAAATTTAAAACATTGTACGTGGTAGGTATATTAACACGAGAACAGTTTATATAATATGTTTCATTTCTTAACAATAACCAAAATTACTTTATTGAAATAATATGAATAAAAAAAATATTTAAAATTTAACCAAATCGTAACTTGGTGGACATTTCTGAGGGTCTGCCACCACACAGACCTGTGTGATCGGATAAAAAGCCGGAAATTTTTGAGACATTTGTTAAATTTTTTTAAATATTGAAAATTAAATAAGTTTTATTATATTTTATAAACTTCTTTAAACAAAATCATAAGTTTTAATAGATAAATTCAACTTCATTCCAACCGAAACAACTCAAACGTAAATTCGATATGATCTGCTATGAAACCAACTTGCCTTAAGTAAAATTTGTAAGGTAATAAAAAGGTGCCAAAGTAAAGTTTTTATATTTTACCTAATAGTTATAATATTTTTAAAAATTTAACTATATTAAATTTAATTTTATAAATAAAATGTAATTTATCATTTTACAATTATATTTTATAAAAATAATTTAGACTGTTTTAATTAATTAAACTGTTATTGTGTTCTTAAGCGTTTTGCCCACCAGTTTAAATTTTACATATAAATTTTTACAAACTAAAAAAAATTTTAAATAGCAAATTTTAAGTAATTATGTAAAATTAGGTAAAAAATGATTGAAAAAACAATTTTTAATATTCAATTCTTATTATATATATATACAGTAGCGTATGACTGGGTATGAACTATATTTTGTGTATTGTATTTTTAGTTTTACCTTGCTTATAAAATATTTTATTTATTTAATTTAATAACATTTTAGTTAAATTACTTAATAAATTAATAAATTTTGGTTTAATGTACCTATGTGTATGTATTATTCGTTATTATATTATTATATTATAATTATATGTTATCATTTTTACAGACACACAAAAAAAAGAATTATTATTTAATTTAATAGCTTTCAGATTTCAACTTTTATAAAAATTCAAAAAGTTCAGAAATTATTATTTTTATATTAGGAAGAAGTTATTTTTATTATTAGATTTTTACCATTAATAAATGTTTCTTATCTACTGAACAATGTACTGAAACAAACAGAAGCGAACACACAAACATCTACTTGAACATTTCAGTTACAATAACAATAACCTCTTAGTTTTTAAGATATGGAGAAAACAAAATTTTAACATGTTGTGCATAAATTAAAAATCAAGTGTACTCACATAATGAGCTATTTGAAACACACTTACAATAATTGTTTTTATATTTTCATGTAATTTTGTTTTGTTTACATACTCACCTGCACACACATACAAACAGACACACACACACACACACACACACACACACACACACACACACACACACACACACATACATAATATACCAACAACACACAAACACATATGTTTGAATGTGCCTAGTCAGTGTGTTGACATTTGTTTATGTGAAAAATAAGTTAGTGTTTAGCTGTTTAAATGGCTAAATACTAACACAATATATGGTGCACATTTTAATGTTCATACTGTGTGTGTACAAAGTATAGATTTACTGTACATTTACACACATACAAACATATTCATTCATACATACATACATTCATACATTCATACATACATACATACATACATACATACATACATACATACATACTTTGATGTATTCAGGTATTCAAGCTAATGAACATCCAATACAGGTGTAGATGGATCTACAATGCTAGTTCTTATATATATATATATATACATATATGCACATACATAAATACACACACATATATATTTGTATATGTATATAATACATATATGTATATATATATATATATATATATATATATGCCATGTAGGTACACATATGTATGTGAATTAAAATAGTCTTTAAAATTTTTTTCTCTCTCTCTCTCTCTCTCTTTCTATATATATATATATATATATATATATAGAATATATATATATATATATATATATATTTATATATGGTAGATTCATTTGTTGTTTACATTTTGGTAAAAGAGCACATATTTTATTGAAAAAATGAAATGATTTAATTGATTTATATTGTTATCTATATTATTTTCACTCTTAGTAATTACGTTATTTATTTAGATCTATTTAATTTGGACATGGATAGTTAAACTTTTGTTTTGTAAGTACGTTCGCTTGTTTGTTTGTTTGTTGGTTTGTTGGTTGGTTGGTTTGTTTGTTTGTTTGTTTGTTTGTATGTTTGTTTGTTTCCATGTACATATGTATGTTTATAAGTATGTATACATGTATGTTTGTAAGTATGTATATTTATGGGTGTATGTTAGTAATGGTTGTTTTTTGGTTTATCGTTTTATTCACTTCGGTTTAACAATTGTTAATCAAATTACTGTTTCGTTACTTATTAAATGTTTCACGAATGAATGAATGAATGTATGGGTGAATGAATGAATGTATGGGTGAATGAATGAATGTATGGGTGAATGAATGAATGTATGGGTGAATGAATGAATGTATTGGTGAATGAATGAATGTTTGGGTGAATGTATGAATGTATGGGTGAATGAATGAATCAACAAGCTACCGATTTTACAACTGTAGTTGGCGTTGATGTAGTATTGGTCGCAGTAGTAGTAGTGGCACTTCTTTTAGTAGTAGGGTTAGTAGTAGTAGTAGTAGTAGTAGTAGTAGTAGCAGCAGTAGTAGTAGTCCATCACAAACGGCCTTTTTAGTTACACGATTTTAAGTATCATGCTTAAAAGGTTCACTTGATATATATATATATATATATATATATATATATATATATATATATATATATATATTTTTACAATATTCTATAAATTCTACCGAATGTTTGGCGTTATGTTTGTAACGCCAAACATTCGGTAGAATTTATAGAATATTGTAAAAATTATGGTCTATTACCAACATATATATATATATATATATATATATATATATATAGAGAGAGAGAGAGAGAGAGAGAGAGAGAGAGAGAGAGAAATAGATTTTTACCACTTATGCGTACACTTAACAATTATACCATTAACATAGCCTTAATAAAAATATCATTAAATCAGTTCATCTGGCTGATGTGATGTCATTAATGTGATGTTCGCATCGTCATCATTTGTATAATAATATTAATAATAATAATAATATTATTAATAATAGTATAGCAATAATATTAATAATAGTATAGCAATAATATTAATAATAGTATAGCAATAATATTAATAATAATCATTGTCTTTGCTAGGATTACCATAAAATTTATCGTTGGCATGGCAATAGGCTTTATGTTATGGCTGCCTTATTATTATTATTATTAGTAGTATTATTATTGTCGCTATTATTATTGCAATTATTATTATTGATAGCATAATCGTAATAATTACAGATTACTATAATTACTTTATAAATATTTTTTTACAAGCCTATATAAAGTTTACGTTATGCTATCATCCTGGCGTTATATTTATTATAATATTGAAAATATTAATAATAAATATTATTGAATAATTATCAATAATGATAATAATATTAATAATAATAATAATTTAATTTTCGTTATAATAATTATATTAATGTGACTAATGGCCGATTATTAAATTTTTTTCAACATTGTGCTACCATTCAGTTCCGAGAAATGATATTTTAAAAATTTAATTCTCTACTATTATCAACACCGACATCATCATCAACGGCATCATCATCATCAACAACAACATCATCATCAACAACATCATCGTCATCATCATGAAGTCAACTGGTTTGTGGTCATCATAACCAACATGATCATCATCTCAGTCAGTCAGTAATCGTCGTCATTAAACTATCTGTAATATATTTCCGTTATAATTAATCATCATCACCACCAGAAAAACATCATCATCATTAACCACGTCATCATTATCATCATCGTCTTCACGAAGTTATTTTGCAACGGATTTACTTGTAGGCACTCATTCACTCACGCTCACCATTACTTTCACTCATCCGATGTTAAGACACGATGATAATAAAGAAACCATACCTACTCCTGCTGCTCATCATCAGCATCTACACGCTCTTCAAGATATTTCTCGACTTCGGCGACGAGTCGCACGTGGCTGTGGCGAACGCCAACGACGAAAGCCACGAGAGTATAGTCAGAAGGTTTACCATGCAACACGGCGACTCAGAATTCGATGAGGAGGACGAGAGGCTGCGTCGACTGCGACAACATGACTACATCCGGGACAGTGGCCATCGCCAGCGCGAGAAAACTGCACTCGTCAACGACTATAACTCTATTCGCAGTAGAAATTCGACTAAAAATCACACGCTCATGAAGGCGAATATTCGCGACGTCATTCACATCCTTAATAATCTCAAGAAGATTGAAATCGACCCGAGACAGATGCAGATCTACAACAAATACAAACATCGACACGACAGCAACGCCACGACGAACGACACGCTACAGCAATCGCCCGACGACACCGCCAACAGCAGTCAGCAGTCTCAACAGAAACAAGACCGGCAGTACATCATCAGCCATCCATTCAGTAGCGACAAAATTGACCCGAAGGAATTGGACAGGTTATTGAGGGCAAGAACCGACGTGGTCCATCCCCACCCCTTCAAATACCTCATCAATTCCCCGGAAATATGTGCCCCACTAATCCCTAGCTACTCGCCCTCCACCAATCAGAATGATGGTAACGTGTATATTCTAATATACGTGCACACCTCTCCAGGCAACTACAGACGCAGGGAGGTTATAAGGAGGACGTGGGGTAACTGCGTGCAGTATGCCCCTGATGTCTCGGTCAGGATTGTGTTTGTGATGGGAGTTCATCCGGAACCTGATGAAAATAAGTGTGTGTGTGCGTGTGTGTGTGTTTGTATATGTGTGTATATGTGTGTGTTTGTATGTGTGTGTGTGCGCGTGTGTATGTTTGTGTGTGTGTTTGTGTGTGTGTGTGTGTGTGTGTGTGTGTGTGTGTGTGTGTGTGTGCTATGTTTTCATCGACTGCTGCTGAAAATCTATTTGCATAAACCTGAACGCTGAAGGTATTTTCGGCATTTCATTTCAAAATTCAAATAATAATAATAACAATAATAATATTTATTATTATTGTTGTTTTTGTTGTTGTTATTATTATTGTTATTATTATTGTTATTATACGCAGGGCAAAAAGTCTGAGCGAAAGTTTGAGGCTGGAACAAGATCTGTATGGTGACCTGGTGCAAGAAGACTTCATTGATTCCTATCACAATCTCACTTATAAGGTCTGTCGGTTTATGATTGGCTGGCTGGTTGATTTGTTGGTTGATTGATTGATTGACTGACTTGACTTACTGACTGACTGGCTGGCTGGCTGGCTGGCTGGCTGGCTGACTGACTGACTGACTGATGAAAGATAGCTTTTCATCCAGTTGTGAACTGTGTCTATTACTTCGTAATGAAGTAGTCTGGATAGGAGTTCTTTGTGATTGAAGGCTTCGGATAAGTCGAAGAAAATGCCACTGGAAAGATCTCTACTCTTCATTTCTTTACTATCAATCCTCATCATTCTCAGGGTGTGGCTGCCTTGAAGTGGATATCACTCTTCTGTCCGAATGCAAGGTTCATTCTCAAGACCGATGACGACATCTTCGTTAACATGTTCTCACTTATCAAGTACTTCAAACATCTCGAAAAGGTTGTTATTATTATCATTATTATCATTACTATGAATATTATTATGATTATCATCATTATTATTATGATTATTATGATTATTTTTGTTATTATTATTATCATCATCATTATCAGGATGAAAATAACTTGAAAGGCCTTATCATGTGCGCTGTTTGGTACGGAATGCCAGTCTTAAGAACTGGAAAGTGGAAGGTAATGATGACGATGATGATGATGGCGATGATGACGATGATGATGGTAGTGGTGATGACGATGACCGTGGTGGTGGTGATGATGATGGTGATGTTGACGAAACGTGGTGGTGTACTTAAATCGAATTCGCATAAATTGAATAATTTTTCATACATCCATTCTTTCTTTCATTCACTCATTCATTCGTTCAATCAATCATTTCCATTCTTACTTCCTTTTTTCATTCATTTATCGATTTTTTCATTCATTCATTCATTCATTCATTCATTTAAACAATCAGCTCTCTATTATGAAGGCAATTATTTTTTTGCCCCCCTTCTACTCGCCTTGCTAAAATCAATCCGGCCACAATTTGTTCATTGATTCGCTATTGATGATGATGACGATGACGATGATGTGGCAGTAATGATGATGATGATCCGATGATGATGATGATCGATGATGATGATGATGATAAGAATAAATCAATGATGTCTCCATCGCATCTCTTCTTTCACTCTTTCTTTTTCTTTCTCTCAATAAATTATTCACGAATTATTAAATTATTTCTCGATGATTCCCACACACACACCACACACACACCACACATACATACACACATACACACGCACACGCGCGCACACACACACAAACACACGCACAGGTTTTGAAAGAAGAATGGGCCGGAGATTGGTACCCTACATATTGCTCGGGCAGTGCTTTCATCATGAGCACAGACGTGGCAATGATCTTACACGAAGTTTCATACCACGTCCCATTCTTTTGGGTCGATGATTTCTATATAACTGGTTGGTTGGTTGACTGGTTGGTTGGTTGGTTGGTTGGTTGGTTGGTTGGTTGGATGGATGGTTAGTTGACTGGTTGGTTGACTGGTTGGTTGACTGGTTGGTTGGTTGGTTGGTTTAGATGGTTAGTTTGGATGGTTGAGTGGCTAGTTGACTGGTTGATTGATTTGCCGATTATCATCATCATCATAACCGCGGTCATCATCATCATCATCATCATCATCACCACGGTTATCATCATCATCATCATCATCATCATTACCACCACAGGACTTCTACCGTTGAAGGCGGGCAACATAGCCCACAGACAGTTTGGCTCGGCTTACGTTCTTAACGGCGATCTCCTAGAAGAATATTTCACCGGTGTGGTGGTTACGCACACACACGCACACACACACACACACACACGCATACACACACACACATGCATACACACGCACACACACACACACACACACACAAATAGATATATACACACGCACACACACACACAGGCATACATTCGTTCGTTCGATGAATTTAATTAGCGTCTCTCACTGCATCGTTGAAACTTCATTAGTACTTTTTAAACTTCTCACATTCAATCAATCAATCGTTTTCATCATCGTCATCACCACCACCATCGTCTTCGTCATCATTATCATAATCAGTACCGAAATAGTAATGATAATAATAATAATAATCATCGTCGTCGTTTTCATCGTCATAATTACCAGTGGTTAATTTTTTGTCAAAACACATATTTGACTTTGTCCTTGTTCGCTGTGATATTTTTAAAATTCACTAGCGAAGGATCGTTCTTAAAAATCTGCAAATTAAAGTTGTATTTCTCTCTCTCTTTCTCTCTCTTTTTATTTCTCTCTTCATTTTCTCTCTCTCTTTCTCTATACTGTTTTTTGTTGTTTCTTTTATTTTTAATCGTCTTATCACCCGATCAATCACAATCCAGGGTTAACCAATTAATCAACAAATCAGTCAATCAATCATTCAATCATTCATTCATTCAATCAGTCAATCAATCATTCAATCAATCAATCATTCAATCAGTCAATCAATCAATCAGCCAGCGAACCAACCAATCAGAATCAGCCACCAACCAAACAAACCCACCAATTACCGACAGGCCCGCAATGGCAGAGTTACATCTTCTCGCACCTCAAAGAGTTGGACAGAATATTGAAAGTCTGGAAGAAAATGAGCCAACTAGCAAAGCGTGAGACTGTAGCCGAAATCAAAAAAGTACTTCCGGGGCAACTTCCGGTATAGTGATGACGCGCGCGATGAGGATGACGTCATTCGTTACCGTAAAGATGCATATATAAACACGCACACACACACGCACACACACATGCATATCTAATTAATGTGATATAGTGACATCAATTTCAAATTGAAATTAATTTATAAAACACAAAATTTCCAGTGCTTTCGCTTGGCGTTTTCGTCAAGGGCCATTCATTTATTGGTTCGTTTGTTCGTTTGTTTGTCCATTCATTTATTCATTCATTCTTTCATTCATTCATTCATTCATTCATTCATTCACCCATTCATTCATTTGTATTTTCAGCTATTTTCATGTATATAGGGTTTAATACGGTGTTCAACATATTTTGCATATTTTGGACTTTATTATTGTTATTCTTTTCTTAATTATATATATATATATATATATATATATATATATATATATATATATATATATGTGTGTGTTTGTGTGTATTTGTATAGCGCGATATATTTATACATACATAAATACATACATGCATGCATACATCTGTATAGTTGAATTGAAGGTAATTGTGAAAATGTAATAAAAGTTACATCCATTTTGCTTCGCAATTCCTTTGAAAAAATAAATTATACAACGAATGAAAATATCTTTTAATTACGTCACACACACACACACACACACACACACACACACACACACACACACACATATATATATATATATATATATATATTGGTGACGTCATAAATAACTTGGAAATTTTTCAGTTAGTGTTGCTGAGAAATAATTACGATGAGATATAGATAAACATGTTTTGCAATGATGATGATGATGATGATTGGGGAGAGAGTATAATGATGGTGGGAGAGAAAGGATAATGGTGATGAAAGAGAGATGATGGTGGTGGTGAGAGAGATGATGATGATGATGGTAGGAGGGGTTAATGTGATGTTGGTGATGGTTAAGAAGATGGAGATGATGATTGTGATGAAGACGATGATGTCGAGGGTTAAAGTCATGATGATGTCGTAATCATTGCTGATAATGATGGTGATTAAGATAATGATAGTAGTGATGACGACGACGATGCTGATGATGAGCTAGCTAGCATGTGTTGAGTGATTAAATTTCGAAACATTCCTTTCTAGGAAAGTTAAATTCCATAGATTTTTTTCTTTCTTTCTTTCTTTCATTCTTTTACTTATTCATTCTTTCATTCATTTATTCAGCCCTTAGTTTCTACATTTGTTCATTCGTTCATCTTTCGTTCGTTCATTCGTTTAATCTTACGGTTTTCCTCTTGTCCACTCATTCATTCATTCATTCATTCATTCATTCATTCATTCATTCATTCATTCATTCACACAATTTGTTCGTCTGTTTATTATTTTTTTTATGGTTATTATGACGTCATCGTCGTCACCACCATGGCTACCAATTATTTTTATTTTATTACCTTCATTTGAATCAGCGCAACGACCTACTAACCTTTTCCTATCTAAATTAATGATGATGATGATGATGACGATGATGATTAAGATGATGATGATAATGATTAAAAGGATCACATTTGTAAGAAATTTGTTTGAAAAGACGACGATGATGATGATGATGATGATAACAAATACGATGACGATCCGAAAGATGATGATGATGATGATTCAAATGATGATGATGATGATTCAAATAATGATGATGATGATTCAAATAATGATGATGATGATGATGATGATTCAAATAATGATGATGATGATTCAAAAGATGATGATAATGATCGTAACAGCCAGCAACCATCATTCATATTGGTAGACAAGCCACTGATAAACTATGTAAAGCGTATTTAACATGAGTCATACCTGGAAGAAGGTACATCTTAGTACCAATAAATTATAATAATAATAATTATAATAATTAAATAATAATAATAATGGTATTATTATTAATGATGCTATTGTTTGTAATTTACTTTAAATTGTTTCCGAAATTTCCTATTGGAAGTGATCTAAACTCAATTATATATATAAATTCTTCATCATAATATAAATTTATTCGTCATTATTATTATTATTATTATTTCTATTGTTAAACTCTGTCATCACTATAATCATCATCATCATTGTACCATCATAATCAACACCCTTATTATTATTATTATTATTATTATTATTATTATCATCATCAAATCGTCGTCATCATCGTAGCGATAACATTCACACACACACACACGCACAAGTTCATTCGTATGTATTCAGTCTTATATATATATATATATATATATATATATATATATATATATACATATATAGATATATATACAATATATACACGTGTGTGTGTTTGTGTGTGTTTGTGGATGTGTATATATTTCGTATTTAGGTATAAATACCAGAAGTTTAGCTGCAAACACTTCTAAGGAAACCTCAATAACAACAACAACAGCAACAACAACTACTGCTACTAAATACTAATAGGAATTTTAATAATATAATAAATTTGAATTTCATAGATCCTGAGATATTCTTGGTGATTTATATGATAGAGGTTGGAAGTTTTTCAGATCTAGCTGTCCTCAGATGTTTATAATAGATCTATTTTAAATTTAGTTTGAATAATTTTAAACGATTAAAAAACCCTTCAAGTTAGCATTTTATTATCTTTCTTATTAAAATGGAAGTTAATTAGTTAGTTTGTAGTTATGAAAATTATCTATTTAATAAACACTCAATCATTTTATTTTGATATTTATATTTGAAAATTTATATTCATTAAACGAAATAAGGTCTATTCTGGAGAAGAAGATTTCATAACAGGAACAAAATTTAAATAAAAATAACGACAACTTTGAAAAAGTCTAAAAAGAATCACAAAAAAATGAGAGTTTATAACTACGCGAACACTTTAAACAGCAGCAGCAACAACAACAGTAACAACAACAGTAATGTTAATAATAATATCAACAACACTAACTACGACAATAGTTGCCAGACTGGTCCAATGGTTTCATCGCGCTTCCTTGCCAAGAATGACGTCACCGACATCAACAACTATGACAACAACAGCCGTGACGTCACTAGCAACAACTACAACAACAGCAGAAACTACAGAAAAAATCGAAACTGTTTTGTTTACAACATGACCAATAGCGGAAGCAACAATGAAAATGACTCCATAGACATCCTCAACAACAACAATGACGTAACCAACACCACCAACGACAACGACAATAATGACCTCACCACCAACAACAACGACGCAAGCAATCTAGACTACCTTTATGAGAAGGCCCAAGGAATGTCGCAGAATGCTGAAACCGTATGCAGTAATTACTTGAATTTGTACAACAAAAACAACAACAGCCACGACAACAACAACAATGTCAGCAATGACGTCATTGACATTAACCAAGACAACGACAACAACAATAGAAGCAACAACAACAGATGTAACAACAACAACGACGTCGAGACTATCAATAAAGACGCTCAAGAAATCTCGAAAGTTGTTATGGAAAAACTTTTTAAAGCCGCACAAACGTTAAATGCTTGCAACGACGTTACCAAAAACAACAACATCATTGTCAACAATGACATCAACAACAACAGTAACAGCAACAGCAATAACATCAGCAACAACAAGAACAACTTTAACAGCACAAAAGCCCCGTTTAACAAATGCAAATTTGTCTATAAGGACAACAAAGACGACGTCAACAGCGCTAAAAACAACAACAACTACATCACTAACAACAACAACAACATTAGCAACAACAACAAACCTCCGCAACAACAACAACAACAGATCACAACCCGCAAATGGCCGTATTCTCCACAAATTATTCCGCCAGCCAAGCCCCTGGTTACCGCGAAGCACCCAGGGTAAATAATAATAATAAATTTTAATTATTATTATTTATTATTGTTGTTGTTGTTAATATAATTGTCGCATTATCACCAATAGAGCCCGGAGTCGTGCCATACCGGATTATTTGAATTTCAGGAAATTTTCCGTTCCTTCCATCCCATACGGTTGGCATATTTATTGTTAATAATTATAATCATAATTTTTACGATAATTATAGTTAAAATTATAATGATAATTATTCATAATTTCTACGATAATTATAGTTAAAATTATAACGATAATTATTAACTGTTATCATTTTGCCCAATTTTAAGAGACAAAGGTGAGTTTAGAGGAAAGAGCTGTAGACGACCAGGCTGGCAAGAAAGAGCTGGAAGACGCAGCTAACACAGCTAATAGCGGTAGCTGTGGTCGAGCTAATGGTAGCTATTACAGCAACAACAATAGCAACAATACTACCAACTGTACCAGCAAAAATACTACTGGCTATAGCTACAACAACAGTGTTGATGATGGTAATCAAAATAGCTGTAGCCGAGATAATGGCTACAGCGGAAATTGTAGCCGTGATGGTGACATTCATGAAAACGCTGATAGATCAGTGAAAATAGATACTTCATCCCAAAGACATGTCTTGAGAGAGGGTGAGTGTAAAATGGTGAGAGAGAGAGAGAGAGAGAGAGAGAGAAAGAGAGAGAGAGAGAGAAAGAAAAAGAAAAAGAGAGAATGAATGATTTCTTTTAACTATCATCAACATCGTTCATCAATATCAATCAACGTATCAATCTTTATCATTATCAATACCAGGTGAGGAACTCAGCCTATGTAGCCGAAAGTCGATTAGATACACCGGAAAGACAAATCCTTCGAAAGTCTTCCGCCTACTTCAATACGCTACAGGAAGCCTGGACGACATTTTGGGTCAGTTTATTTATAATTAATTAAAATTAATATAACAATATTTTTTATAATAAATTATAATTAATTATAAAAAATAATAATATTTTTAACTGTCCTTTGCTGTTTAAGCCTAATGACGCCACAAAGATGTTATAAATGAGTAGTTATCTGATTTTTTTTCTTGCTCTAAGTGTCATTGCCACCATCATAGTCATTTTTCATCAACATAATTTTAATTATCTGATCATCAATTTCACATTATTATAATTATTATGTTATAATTAATTATAATTTATAAAATATTAATATTTTGTTGTTCTTACTAGATATTCGTCCAAGAGTTAACCGCACTAGAAAACCAAGCGATGATGAAGATGAAGATGATGCTGGTAGTAATGATAAAACTGGCACTGGTGATAGTAGTGGTAGTAAACAAGAAGCCGAGGAAGCTACTACAGCCGATTCTACTGATCAAGGATTAGATGTATGAGATGTTAAAATTTTGATAAGCAAATGAATGCTTTTCGGTGTTATATTGCATATTTTATTGATAAGTGTTTTGTAATTTATGGCTATTTCTTTCAAAATTAAAAAAATATGTTGAAATTTTTTATAAAATCTCTTATTTAGACAACATTTAAATGATATATTTGATCATATTATTTAAAAATTCATCTTTACATCAAATTTTTCAGTGAAAATTTTAAAAAAATTTCAAAATTTGTGGCATTTTTGTCAAATCGAAATCCGCTGCTAAATATCGGTTATGTTATTAACATTTTATTGATACAATATTCTTCAAATTTAAGTGGTTGGTTATTTGGTTTGAAAGTTAGGTATTCGGATAGATATCTTGATAGATAAGTAGGTAGATAGATATACAAATTGATGGATAGATAGATGGATAAATGAATGAACAGATGGGCGGATAAATGGATGGATGAATGAATGGATGGATGGATGAATGAATGGATGGATTGATGGATGGATAGATAGATAAATAGATAGATAAATAGAAAATAGATAGTTGGATAAATAAATAATAATAAGTATATACGTTTGTATGTATGCTTATGTGTGTTGATGTATGAGCATGTATTGGTTATTTAGTATGTTAGCATATGCCTGAAAACTGAAAAAAAACACATCCCGGTTCAGTAAAAGTTTACTTTTAAATGTAAACACACGTTTTTTCAAAGTTGCCTCAGAAATCCTTGCCGATCTTACTAATTTGACTAAATAATTTTAAACAATTTTGTCGAAAAGTTACTTCAAATTCATTTCTTTCATATAAAAAATGTTGACCCGAAAGATATTCAGCAATTATAATAGCCGGTATTTTTGCAAAAAAGGTTAGTGACATTTTAAAATTTAAATTTTAAAAATTTTATGAAATTGTTATTTATATTTTACAGAATTTATTAATTGAATAATTGAATGAATTTATTTTATGTTTATTTAGTTAGAGCCTAATTTAGTTAGGTTAGGTTAGTAGTAGTTTGTAAAAATATTAAAGTTAGTAAGTTTGTTTTTGTTAGTTATTACTTTTTTAACTTTATTTATTTTTTGTATTTATACTTACTTATAATTATTTGGACAAAAGTATGTTATTTCTGTTTCTATGAGTATGACCTAATCACTAGTTTAAAGTCACATCACATACAATGGGTATGACTCACTTAGACTTCTTTGACTTAGTTAGAGAAAGGTTTTTTAATTTGTAATATTCATCACTTTAGCTTAGATTACTTTTAGATGAACTACCAAAAATAACTTATTTTGCTATTTTTTCTGATTTTTAATAAATTTGAAAAAAACTGATCTAGTGCTAAACATTGAGAAGAGGTACATCACAAATGAAAGCGTCACTAAGAAGAGGAATGAACTGTTCGAACAGGAAAAGTCCAGACAGCTTAACCTCATCAAAAGAGTGGAAAAAATTGAGGTGGGGAATGATTTTTATTTGGAACTTCATTTCACTTTTCATATTGTAATTTTTAATTTCTTGTAACTTCAGTTTACTTTTAAATTGTGTCTCTTCTTTCCTTTATTTATTTACTTATTATTCTGTCCTAGGTGCATTACAAAGGAGCCCCAGAGGATTGCACTTTAATTATGAATAAAGACCTGTCCACACCATTCAACTGTGCTATGCGTTAGCATAAATTATAATTAATTTGCATATATTAACATTCTTATGCATGAATATTAATAAAGGAATGATGAATGAGTTAATGAATGAAATCAGCGTATGAATCTAACTAATGATTGGATGAATGACTGAATGTTTGAATGAATGATTGAATAATAAAGTGAATAAGATACTAAAAAAGCAACACACACACACATACACACACACAAAGACAGACAAACACACACAAACAAACAAAGACAAACAAACACACACACAGATATGAAAGAATTCCTAATGATAAGATCAGTAGTGGCCTTAGTGAATGGAAAACCTTGGGACATGCACAGGCCATTACTTGAAGATTGCACACTGGAGTTAAAACACTTTAAAGATGATGATCCAAACATCTGTAATGAGGTTTCTATGCTTTGTATTGTATATTTGTTTTTATTATATAGTTTTTCTATGTTTGTATTGTTCTGTGTGCTTGTATTTACGTGATGTGTATGTTTAGAATGTGTTTGTTTGCTTGTTTGTTTGTATGCTTTGCATGTATACTTGTTTGTTTGGTTGTATGGTTGTATGGTTCTACATCATCATCAACAACGACATTATCATCATCATCATCAAATACAACATCAAATCATCAACAACCCATACACACACCACACACATACCACACATACACACACACACACAACACATACGCACACACAGGCATATTGGAGGACTTGTTCATTTGTTCTTGGTTATATCTTGGAAAGAGCCTTTAAAAGTGATTACTACATAGAATTATGCAGTTTCCCTAAACCTGAATGTAAGTAATTATACTTCTTTTTTACTAGAAGGTTGATTAATGTACAAGATTACCTAGTAAAATTAATTAGGTAATCTTAATAATTAATAATTAGGTAATTAATTATTAATTAATTGATAATTATTTATTAATTTAATTTGATATTAGGCAATGTTTTGTTTGAAATAAAATAAAATTATTAAAAACAAATAGTAATAGAACATAAAAGCTGTGAGAATGGCATGGCTTCTATTTATAATCTTTCGAGAATGGATGTACTTACGTAGGTTTCTATGAGATAGTCTTAATTTTAGATTTACTTTCGTATATTTAATGGTTTGTTTGGTTTTTTATTTTTCTTTTCCACAAATTTTTTTAAAAAATTTTCTCCCACAAAAGTTAACTCTGGCTCATTTGTCTATGACGTCCAGCTGAACCTTGATCCAGAAAGTATTAAAAGGGTTGATGATTTTTGTTATTCTTATTAATATTTATATTATTATCATTGTTGTTGTTATTATTATTATTTATATTATTACTAGTATCACAATCATAACTGACAGTTGGAGTTGAGCTGCTTCAGTAGGATCGGCGGTCGGCTGCATTTTGAGGATAACAAGTTTGAGAGGATAGAAGTCGATGTTGGACTGGCTGAGAAGATGTTTGAGGATAACAAGTTGGTTGGTTGGTTGGCTGGCTGGCTGTTCGGTTGACTGGCTGGCTGGTCGGTTGGTTGGTTGGCTGGCTGGCTGGGTCGGTTGGCTGGCTGGTTGGTTGATCGATCGATCGATTGATTGATCGTTTGATTGATTGATTGATTGATTGAAATATTTTGTTTATTTTTGTCATCTACCCAGATACAAGGTTGCCCAGCTACCAAGCATTGCCAGCCAATCAAAATGTGGCTCCAAGGTACGCTCTTTTTTGATTGGTTGATCGTTTATTTAAATTTTAAGTTATTTTATCATTGTCCAGCAAGTAAATTAAAATTTTAAATTGGCCAATTATGACTCAGCTTTTCAATGAACCAATCATCTTTTAGTATTTAAATTTAAATGAGCTAATCATCATTTAGAATTTGAACTTTAGTGAACCAATCACACACCTTAGCAATTAAATTTAAATTAACTAATCAAAGTTTATCAATCATTTATAAACCGTTCAAATGGACCAATCAAAATTCGGAATTTAAATTTAAATGGTCCAATCAGGTTACGTTATACAGGATGAAGGATCACGTTGACATGACTAAAGGACCACTCATAACAAACTCAAATCTCATTGGTCGATATTCCGTTGTGGCTGTTAGTTAATTGGTTGATTATAAAAAAAGAATATAAGAGTGAATGACGGAATGTATGAATAAATGAGTAATAAACGAATGATAGAATGTCTGATTTGACTGGCTATGGCTGTCTGGAAAAATGAATAATTTCTTAAATTTCATTCAAATTGAATGAATGAATGAGTGAACGAACGGACGAACGAATGAAAAAGAGAATGAATAAACGAACGAATGAAGGAAGCACAAGTACAAACACACCTCACAGGTACACTGCATTGATAGTCCGGATTATGGAAAGCTCTCAAGGGTCCAGGGAGTTTCCATACCCTGCCATCTACCCGTAAGTCACGATGATGGTTTGATGATAATTATTATAAAAAAAATAATAAATGTTTTTTTTTTATAAAATATCCAAGGTTCACTTTTGGACGTATGACATTCTGTGCCAAAGAGCTGCCAAAATTGTTAGCTATACACACACACACACACATACATTCATACATGCATACATTCATACATGCATACATACATATATAAATACATACATACATTCATACATACATACATACATACATACAGAATACGTGTGCTCCAATACCGACGTTAAAAGCAGTGAAAAAAATACCCGACGGTGAAGCTGATTATGACAGTAAAGTTAAAATCAAATCGGAATGAATGATCGATTGAACGATTGATTAATTAATTCATTTATTCGTTATTTTTATTAATTTATCCATTTGTTCAATCATTTCTTCCATTCATTCACTTGTTCGTTCAGTCGTTCATTCGTTTTTTATTATTTTTTCAACTTTTGATGAAAAGAATTCATTGAACGCCTGATAGAAGATAATAATTTTTATTTGTTCGTTTTCGTCATTCATTAATTCATTAATTCATTCATCCATCCATTTACTCATTCATTCATTCACTCATTCTTTCATTCATTCATCGTTTTGTTTCTTATATTCATATACTGTTCATGAATAAAATATTGGATGTTAAAAATTAATATCAAAAAAATTAACGAAAAATAAAAACACAAGAAATATCTAAACGTACCTACGCAGACACAAACGTACATACATTCAAACACACACATACGTACATGCACACACACACACACATACATAGGCACGTACGTTTGTATGTATGTGTATATGTATGTTTGCATGTATGTGTGTTTGTATGTATGTGGAGGTTGGATTGTTTGTTGACCTCTCATGTCGCTACAATTATCCACTCTTAATGAACTTGAAGGATGATAAATGGATGGATGGATGATGAGATGAACAGAGGAAAAGATGAACGAATGAATGGATGGACAGATGAACGAATGAATGGATGGAAAGATGAACGAATGAATGTACGAGTGAGTACAATCAATTAGTTTATAAAGCGCTATTAACGCAATGTTCAACAGCGCTCCTCTATGAATTTTTTTCAAACAGATGGGTCTTGAGATCCGCTCTGAACTTCGTAAGTGATGGAGAAATAGTCAGAGAAGTAGGTAGAGGGATTCAGAGAAAAGGACCAGAAAGTAAGTAACAAGATTAAGGAAGTAACAAGAAGGAGAAGAGTGGGATCGTCAAGAAAAGGCGAAAGTTTTTTTATTCTACGTAGATGAAAGTAAGAACTTTTAGCAACACTATTAATCTGAGAAGAAAGAGACATACTAGAATCAAAGATAAAGTCTAGACTACGAAACTTGTGAGAAACCTCAAGAGTTTTAGAGTCAGGTAAGATAATAAGAGGAATAGTAATAGAGTGTTTAGATTCATTAAAACAAATTAATTCAAATTTAGAAGGATTAAGTTTAAGACACATAGACTCAGACCAAACGATAATTGAAGAAAGACATAGAGATAGATTATAAGGAACACTATTAAGATTGGATGGAGAATCCCACGCAAGTAAAAAAAAACCGACCTTGACATTTAAAAAAAATTTAATTTCTTTGCGGCTTAGAGGATAATGATTGTGACCTAACTGAGGAACATCAGAAGAAAATTTCTTTTAAAATTATAATTACGATTTTTTTTTACTATGTTGAAGTTATCGAGTTACTTTTAGACAAGAGCAGCTTCGAAAAAATGTTTACAGAGTTTATTCATATTTAAATATATAGGATTTATTCCTATTATCGTATTAAAAGGTGTGGTCTTCACTCATAAGTAACAATGATAACTATTAACTCAATTGTAAATACCCAACATAAAACATGTTGACGATCCTACCAACCAACCAGCCAGCCAGAAAGTTTCGCTGGCTTTGTTGACGCCAATTCAGCTTGGTTAGTACTGTCGTTAAGTGAGTTAAGTAATAGTATAGTACGTGTATAAACTTCTTACCGGAGTTAATGATTGTATGATGAGGATGTTTGGTTGAAAAGAGTAGAAGAGTAGCAGGTGTGAGAACGTTGAAATCCGATTAGGGATTTCTAGCTCACTAACCTCTTCCTCATCATCGTCAGAATGATATTAAGAAGAACAAATATTGACAATAACGCACATACATACATACATGCACACATACATACATACATACAAACAACAAACAAACATATACACATTCATACACACAGACACACACTCACACACATACATACTTAAACGCACTTATTTATAATTGCAACAAAAATAGTTACTGAATGGCACGCACGCATAATCTAATTGCCCAAAAATGATCATTCAGTCGTTATGCCTACTATTCATACACACACACTCACACACACATATACATACACACACAAACACACACACACATATATAAACATTTACTTTTTATTATATATATATATATATATATACACATAATTATATCTGCGTGTTATACATGACATAGTATTTATAGTATATATGGTATATACATATGCACACAACATATATAAATACATACATATACGAATATCTATTTGTAGTATATACACATATACATATACACATATACAGATGGCATGTATGTATGTTTATGTATTTAGGTACATATGTTTATATGATGAACGTTAAACGTATCTTTTATTCATTCATTGCTGATGTTTCGGCTGTTGCTAGTGAGGTAAAACTATTTTAAAATTTTACTACTGCTGCTACTACTACTATTACTACTACTACTACTACTACTACTACTACTACTACTACTACTGCTGCTGCTGCTGCTTCTACGGCTACTACTACTACTACCGTTTTTACTACCAGTGATGTTCTTACTACTTTTAAACAGTAATAGTAACCGTTGATGTTGTTATTAACGTTTTTTCGTTGGGTTTTTTGGGATCGTTAATTATAAGTTATAATAATAATAATAATAATATTCACAATAGAAACAACAACAACAACAACAACAGCAATAATAATAATTATAATAATATTATAAAAATAATAATTATAATAATGCCGAAAGCTTACTGAACGTTCAATCCATCTATCTATAAAAGACAAACGCATGCACGGTGAGAAATTACGTTATGAATGAATGAATTAATTGATGGATGGATGGATGGATAAACAAATGAATGAATATATGAATGGGTGAATGAATGAACGAATGAATGGGCGGATGAATGAATGGATGAATGGACAATCGACAGACTGGCCGAATTGTTAGAAAGATAGATGGATATATTATTGGATGCTTGGATATGTGAGTGAATAAATGAACGAATGAATGGAAAAACAAACAAAAATGAAAAATGAATGAATGGTTTGATGTATCACTTTCGTAATAGCTCTCCGTCTGTTGGCGATACAATATATTTGTACAAATTTATGTGTGTATGTATGTGTGCATGTATGTATGTATGTATGTGTGATTGTTTGGGTTATGTGTACTGTACGTTATGTGTGTGTTGTGTCTGTGTGGTGTGCTTGTGATTGTGTATGTGTGTGTGAAAGAGAGAGAGAGAGAAAGAAAGAAAGTTGAAACGCTCTGAATCTAAATGAGAAAATGAATAATGAATTCTCGAGGAATGTTCATGGAATGGCGAAATGATGGATGGATGGATGGATGTATGGGTGGATAAATGAAAAAAGGAATGAAGGTAATAATGATTGAATGATGGACTGAAAAAAAAGAAATGAATGAACGAATAAAATGTGATCGAATAGACAGATAAACAGACAGCAAGATAAAATGATGAGTGGTTAGGTAATGAATGAATGAATGAATGAATGAATGAATGAATGAATGAATGAATGAACGAATGAATGAATGAACGAATGAACGAATGAACGAATGAATGAATGAATGAATGAATGAATGAATGAATGAATGAGTGAGTGAGTGAATGAATGAATGAATGAACGAATGAATGAATGAATGAATGAATGAATGAATGAATGATATCTGCTTGGATGAACAGATGGTAGCAATAGTGGATGCAGAAATCTATAGTGGTTAGATAAACTCATTGCATATGTTAAGACATTTTTATTTCCAGATAAAAATTGTAACGTTTTAAACCACAACACCAGTTTTAAACCACAACACCACTACCAGCAGCATCATCATCATCATAATCAACAACAACATCATCACCATCATCATAATCAACAACAACATCATCACCATCATCATAATCAACAACAACATCATCAACAACAACAATAACTTTATCAACAACAACAACGTCAACAACAACACAATCATCATCACCACCACACATCACCATTTTATTAGAGCATTGCAACAACAATAGCAACAACTCATGAAGATGCATTAGCTTATTAGGTCTAACTTTTATTTTCATCACTCCTCTTTTTAAACCGTCATCATCATCGTCGTCGTCTTTATCATCATCATAATCTATTCACTTATCGTCATCATCATCGTCTCCGTCGTAATCATTATCAGGATAGGCAAAACACAAAACAATTTTTCTAAAGCCAAATCCAACTGCCTAATAAAAGTCAATTAAGGAAAAGAACTTTGAAAAAGGTTTTTGAGTCATTTTGTAATTTAATTTTTTGATGTATGTATGTATGTATGTATGTATGTATGTATGTATGTATGTATGTATGCATGCATGTATGTATGTATGTATGTATGTATGTATGTATGTATGTATGTATGTATGCATGCATGTATGTATGCATGTATGTATGTATGTATGTATGTTAAAACCAAAACATGATGAGTGACACTGTATGTATGTATGTATGTATGTATGTATGTATGTATGTATGTATGTATGTATGTATGTATGTATGTATGTATGTATGTATGTATGCATGCATGCATGCATGCATGTATGTATGTATGTATGTATGTATGTATGTATGTATGTATGTTAAAACCAAAACATGATGAGTGACACTGTATGTATGTATGTATGTATGTATGTATGTATGCATGCATGTATGTATGCATGTATGTATGTATGTATGTATGTATGTATGTATGTATGTATGTATGTATGCATGCATGTATGTATGTATGTTAAAACCAAAACATGATGAGTGACACTGTATGTATGTATGTATGTATGTATGTATGTATGTATGTATGTATGTATGTATGTATGTATGTATGTATGTATGTATGTATGCATGCATGCATGCATGCATGTATGTATGTATGTATGTATGTATGTATGTATGTATGTATGCAACAAACATGCAAAGAAACATACATTTTTTATTCAGCGACTTTGATGTTAATTTCATTTGGCGCTTCGCTTTCTGGCTTCTAAAAGAAGGAGAGAACATTTTTTGATCATTTGTTATAAGAAAGCGAAAGAGAGAGAAAGAGATAAATAGAGAGAGGGAAAAAGAAAAAAAAAGAAAAAAGAGTGAGAAGGGAGAAAGAAAAAGAGAGAGAGAGAGAGAAAGAAAGGGAAAGAGAAAGCTATTTTTAAGATAAAAACCTGTGATGAATAAGTTATTTTGCAGAAATTCTCTTACAGTTTTCCTGTAACTGTTTAAGAGTATTGCTAATAAAATATAACATTTATTTATTGTAATATTCAATATATACACATGTGTGTGCGTGTGTGTGTGTATATGTGTGTGTTCGCGCACGTGTGTGTGTCTAGGAAACTTTTTTAATATTTATAGTTATTTGTTATAACATTTGTATTTTCAGAAAATTACTATTCACGGACGTACAGACATGATTGCACACACATACATACTCAAAAACATACACCGACACACACACACACACACACACCCGTAAATTTTCATAACCCCATTGTTTGCATAGTGCTGTATATTTCTCATGAGAGAAAGAGAGAGTGCGAGAGAGAGGGAGAGAGAGAGAGGGAGGGAGGGAACTGAACTTATTCCATGAAACACTACCAAAACTAATAAACAGTTAATACAAATTGCCTCGTGAAAATATTGAAAAATTACTAAAAAATACTAAGAAAATATCTGAAAAGTACTTCAAATTGATAGAAAAAAAACTAAAAAATACCAAGAAGTAACTAGAAATTTTTAGAAGTAGCAAGAATTATTCAGAAACAAGTCGAAACAGTTGGAAGAAACATTTACACGAAAAACTAATCCAGCTTACTGAAAATTATTAACTCGCGAAATAAAGAAACAAATCGCCAGAATTACTCTGAAAAAAGTCATAAATACTCAAGAATTAATGAGAATTTATCGGAAAACGTCTGAGAAGAAGTTTTCAAAGATTCTAGAAAGAATTTTTACAGAACTTGGGTAAATTATGCCTTCAAAATTTCTTACCAGATTGTAAGAACAATACTTCACAAGTGAATAAATTTCTATTGGGTAAGATTACATAGAAGTAAAACAAAAATACCTCACACATACGCCAGTACAAATGGACGCATATGAACACACACACATAGCAGTTTTTAGCTTCTTCATAAAATGTGCTATACAAATCATCAGATATAGACACAGACACACGCACACAGGCACGCACACACACTCACACACACACACACACAAACAAATTAAAAAGATGAATTCTCAATTGCTTAAATCAATAAACCGTAGTGGTTGTTGTTTTGTCAGGGTTCGCTTTATTATGAAATGGCGGGAAAATGAAAGCAATAAAAAATATACAAAAGCTAGTACTATTATTATTACTACCACTGCAGCTACTACCGCCACTACTGCTACTACTACTACTGCTACTACTGCTACTACTTTTATTACTGTTACTTCTTCTTTAAAACGCAAGAGTTGATCATGACTTTGTCTTTTTTTATTTTTAACTTTTTAATTTCACTGGGTTTTAAAAGAATTTTCACAAAATCCTTGAGTAAATAATGTAGATTGAGTTAAGATTGGATTGTTTACACTCCTGCTACTACTACTACTACTGCAGCTTCTACTACTGCTACTACCACTACTACTACTACGACTACTACTACTACCACTACCACCACCACTACCACTACTACTACTATTACTAATACTACTACTACTACTACTACTACTACTACTGTTACTGCTGCTGCTACTACTACTACTACTACTACTACTACTACTACTACTACTACTACTACTACTACTACTACTACTACTGCTGCTGCTACTACTACTGTGGCTGCTACCGCTACTACGATTACCACATTTATTATTAAAACAAGCATTAACATTGCATAAGCTTATTTATAAAATATGCATTAGACAAGTTAGGTGAGAAAGCTTTCTCATTGTTTTTGATTTGCATGTCTGTTGTTTGTAAAGTTGTATGTTGGTTTTTTTTCATGTATATAGATAGGCATGTATGTGTGTGTATATGTATGTTTGTGGTGTATATACTATGTATGTTTGTTATATATATATGCTATGTGTGTGTGTGTGGTGTGTGTATGTACATGTGTGTGTGGTGTGTGTGTTTTTTTTGCAATTTCGCATGACTCTGACTGTGCTTTTGTAGCGGAATAATTGGATTTTCCAATGTAGATGGAAGGATTTAAGGATGTGTGCAGTTTTTGTCCTACCATATTGAAAGTTAAAAATCGAATCAGTGCAAAGAAAACCCCACATACACGCACACACACACACGCACATACAAACACACACACACACACACATGAACGCATACATATATCTATCTATATTTATCTATCTATATATCCATCTATCTTTTTAAAATTTGTTCATTTAAACGCTTATACAAACACGCTATACAAAGTCTCTAATAGTAATAATATTAATAATAATAACTTATGCAGTCGTTCATTTGTTTGTTCGTTCGTTTGTTCGTTCATTCATCTGTTTGTTTGTTCATTCACACGTACATACATTCCTTTGTTTATCCCCCACGTTCACTAATTCACTCATTCATTCCAAGATGGCCGTCAAAGTAGGCTTAATCCGGATGAAGATAGTGGAATGGAGGATGGATAATTCTGAAAAGGATGAAGCAAGAAGAGGTGGCGATGACCATGACGTCATGTGCATCAGTGTTAGTCTCAAAGAACCGGAGAATAGAAGTGAGTGAGTGAGTGAATGGATGAATGTATGAATAAATGAGTGAGTGAGTGAGTAAGTGAGTGAACGAACGAACGAACGAATGAATGAATGAGTGAATGAATGAATGAATGAGTGAATGAATGAATGAGTGAATGAATGAATGAGTGAATGAATGAATGATTGGATGGACCTTAAATCATTTGAACAATGAGAAAAGTTGATGAATGTATGAAAAAATATACAATGAAAGAAAAAAAAATCAGCAAATGAATCAGTTAAGAAAAAATTATAGAATGAACAAATGAATGAACGAACGAACGAACGAACAAATGAATGAACGCATGATTGAATGA